TCCATGCCGGGATCTGGGTTCCGATTCGACTCGGTTCTGGGATCCGGCATTCGATTCGCTTCCAGGCTGGCGGCGCCCTCGCGTCGTGAGGAGATCGGTCGGGGCGCACTGCGTGCGTGGCCAGCAGTCATCCCCTTCGGGGGGGGCCCGTGCGCGGCTCCTGGGGCCCCGTCAGCCAACGGAAAGACCCGTCGGGGCGCCCCTCGCCCCACGGGGCCCCCCGCGCATCTCCGCGGAGGACGACCTCGACCGCTGCCGCTTGTGGCGTCGTCAACGCCGTCGATGTCGTCGTCGTCGTCGTCGCCGTCGCCGTCGCCGTCGCCGTCGCCGTCGTCGTCGTCGTCGTCGTCGTCGTCGTCGTCGTCGTCGTCGTTCGACGCAGTGTCGATGCATGAGTGGAGCGAGGGGCTCCGGGAAATTTCCCAGAGCAGGCATGCAGCCTCTGGATTGGTTCGTGGCCTTCTCAACCTGGCCGCGACGGCCCTCCTCTGATCTGCCTGGCCAGAGCTGCCGCCCTGCACAGTGTGTGCAGTGGTGCCAGGGCGCTGTGAGCGCTACATACCCAGCCTCAGTGTCCTGGCATCGCTCGGACGTGCACATTTTTTCTGAGCGAGAACCATCGAGGACCATCCTGGACCATCGAGCAATAACAACACACACGCACGAAACCGAAAAATGCACGGGAAATTGACGCCCGAGCGACGGCAAGAGTGTGACACGGTCGTTCGGTTCCTCCCTCGTCCTCCTGTCGGGAAACGTGAGACTCGAGCTCGCCGGGGCTCGGGTCTGCTGCCGCCTGTAGACGGTCCCTGGGCGCTTTTTTCTTTGTGGACGGCCCAGTTCTCGTGATGTGTCTCCAGACCCCCCCACTACAACGTAACGTCCCTTCCCACCCCCAGTGCGCTCCGGGCACTGCCGCTGTGCGCATCGGGAACACCGCGGGGGGGAGGCGTTACATTATACCCGCCCCTGGCCGCCTCCCCCCCCCTGTAACGCCCATCATCGCCGAAAAAAAGCAAACGCGCTCGAGCCCGCGCCGAATTTCAGGCTGGGTCCCGTTGCTATTCTCCTACGGCCCCGTCGGACAAGTTCGAGTGCCCATAGCTCAGGTCTTCTGTCTTCGAGGTCCCGCCCCGCCAGCTGCGTCCTCCACCTGCGCGAGCGGCGAGGTGTTGGAGGCTGTTGGCCGCCTCTGGCTCCTATTTGGGCCCCCCAGGCGGCCTGCGGGGGCCTTCCTGGGGACCTGAAGACTCCGTGGGCCTCCGGGAGGGAGGTCTCCTCCCTGGAGAACTCCAGGGCCTCCCTCTTCTTCGTTGCCGTCCCCTCGGCCACATGAAACTATTGCAAAAGCTTTGCGGCCTGTGCCGCCGACCCTGAATGGGAACGACCACGACGACGACGTCGACGACGACGGCGATGAAGACGACGGCGACGCTGAAGCTCTGGAGCTGAGAGCTTCTCCCAGGGGAGGGGTGCTTCCCCCGGGACCCTCCCCCTCCCCCCTTCCCACCCCACAAGGGACCCCCCCCGCCCCGGCGGGGGAGGGATCAAAAGGACTGCCTCCATTCGACTCGATTACGACGTTGCTCGCTTTCCCTCTGGCTGGAACGCTTAGGGGAGCGACGACGACGACGACTCAGACTGAAGCGCCACTCACACACGACGAAAGTGTCGGCGGATTTTCGCAACCGCCACCGCACACAGTATATTACACATTCTCCTGGGTAGGGTCGCGAGCGTGGGCCGTTCAGCAATATGTGTAGTACATGTGTACACCATGTTTCGGGCGGAGTCCCCGTGCCTTAGTGTATACGCGTGCGGCTCCCATTCTCGTCCGGCGCGGGGTTGTGGGATGTCACGCAGAATTTGAACTTGGGGTCCTCCTCCTCCTCCTCCTTCTTCCTCCTCCTCCTCCTCCTCGTCAGATCCAGCATCGCGAAACCGTCGTGACAACCCATTCTTCGCAACGGGTCTCTGGAGGCCGTCTCGGCCCCCTGGGCCGCCACCGTGCTATTCAGCATGCAGGGCGGGGCTCGGGATGGGGACGAGAGGTCCAGGGGCCCACGTCACGATGTAGCAGCGGATGAGAGGGGAAGGGGAAGGCAGGAGACGAACTGATGGGGGATGATGGCCAGATGGGGGAAGGGGGCGCACAGGAGGGGCGGGTGAAGGGGACCAGATGGGCAAGGTGAGGGGATGGGAGGTTAATAGGGGGTCAATGGCGATGGAAAGCAGCGTTGCAGTCGTTGCATTTTGATGCCGAGGGCCTCTGTGACTCCGCTCACGGGCAGGCAGCGTCACCATCTTTCGCCTGCACGCCAAAGCTTTCATTCATGGTATGGGTATTGGTGGTAAGGAGGCCGACAATCAACCAGGTGGTGTCAGCAAATGATAAGCATGGGTTAGCTTCTACTGACGACCAGCACACCGCCAGCGGCACCGGAAAAGACGCGGCCCACAGGAGCCTCCCAGCCAGTTCTGCTACGACACCGTGATCCAGGCCAATCAGTAGCGTCCCACAGCCACCACGTGATGAGGGTCGAACATATGGAGGAGAGCGACAGGGGCGTCTGAGCTCGATCCGATGACGAAACGGGCCAGTTAGGCATACTCCCATTTGAGTTTGTTCAATCCCGTTTGATTTGGCCGAATATACCATACTCCCAGGTTGAACATCGAAGACGCCTACAGCGAGTCACAGCCGTCCCCTGCCTTTTGGAAGTGCCTATGCGGCCGAACATGTTGGCCAGAGCTCGGCCACGCCGTCGGACTGTCTGTCCCCACCCAGCTGTTGTGGGAACCCTTCGGGGAATACTTTGGGAGGACTAGAGAGAGGACGACGGAGGCAAATGAGGAGGAGGAGAAGGAGGAGGATGAGGAGGAGGAGGATGAGAAGGAGGACTCTTTGGAGCCCTTGGGGCACTCTCAGGGCCTGGCCTCCTGGGGTCCTCTCGGAGGCCTCTCGGAGGCATCCTTTGGCATCTTGGGAGCCTTGGGATGCCTCTTGGGAGGCTCTTTGGCCGTCTGAGGACGTTCCTGGCCCGTCTGCCGCCGTCGGAATCTTGCGGCCCTCGTGGGGCGGCCCAGGGCCGTCTTGGGAGCCAACTTGGGCGTCTTGAGGTCTCGTGCTCCGTCTTGGGGCCCTCTTGGGGCCGTCTGGGGGGCCTCCTGGGCCAACATGGGGCCATCTCGGAGGGCTCTTGGGCGCTGTTGGGGGTATCTTGGTTTCCTTTCGAGCCGTCTTGAGCAGTCGGAGAACCGAACATGAGCAAACGCCTAACACCCTTCGAAAAGCAAAACTCCTTGGGTAATCACAATGTCTGGCCTCTTCGGGCCTTCCTGGAGGTCCTTGGAGGACTTTTGGGCAGTCTCATGGGCCTTTTCGGCCATCTTGGAGCCATCTAGGGCCGTATTGGTGGCTTCTTGGACTGATTTGGAGGCATCTTGGACCTTTTTGGGCCATCTTCGAGATTCTCTTGGACCAGCTTGGGCGATCTTCAAGGCCATCTTAGGCACTCTTGGCCGTCTTTGAGGCCATCTTGGGGCCATTCCGAGCGGAAAACACGTTGCCTCCCAGCTCTGGGCGAGCTTTCTGGGTGGTTGGCGGGCTCGGCCGAAGACCCAGGGTGGGTTCTATAGAAAAGAACCAAACACTTCCAGGCGTCCATCACGCCGTGCATCCCTCTGGCAAGATCTCAGGGGGCGGCAGACCTCGGGGCCTTCGAACCCGGCCCCTTGAAGACGCCTCGGAGCTGAGGACTGAGGCTCAGGGGATTGGGCAAAGGACCTGCGGACGCGCCCACTCCGTGCCCAGTGGCAAGGTGATGGATGTTTCATCTTCGGGGGGGTTCGTCCTTCGCCTGTCCTCCAAAATTGTACCGTTTCGTGTGCCCGACGTGGGCTCGATGCGGATTCGTCGCGGATGTGGCGCGGATTCGACGCCGATTCACGTGCTTTCGACGCGGGTCCGACGAGTCCGACATGGCTTCGACGCGGATGCGAGTTTGGCAGGGGCGCGACGGGACAGGCCACCGAAGTTGCAGAACACCCTACGTGCGTTGACTCACCAAATCTGGGCTGGTGCAGGCGTCCTTCTCCGAGGGGGGCGGCGCGATGGCGCAAAGGTAACCTCTCGTCGCACATCGCGGGGCGCGATGCGCGAAGTTAGGTGCCTGGACTACGTGCGCTGATCCGCCACCCCCACTTGACCGTCACCGCGGCGAGGCCTGAACCCTACCCCTCGCATATCAACGATTCAGGCAATTCGACGGGTGGCAGGGGTGCGGTTCGGAAGCCGTCGATCGCGCGGCGACTATCGAACCTTACCCCCGCCTCCCATCGATTCAAGAGTTTGAATGGTTGGTGGGGTAGGTAGGGTTCGGATTTCGCCCCTTGCATCCACCCTTCGGCCCGACCCGCTAAGCGCAAGGGGGCCAGAGTTTTTCGTGGGCCGTCCCCGGGAAGGAGCGAACCGCCACGGTGGCCACACAGAATTGGGGGTGCGATTTAATTTCTCCGTCGCTCAGTGCACGGAGTTCTCGCGCGGCGCGTCTTCGGGTGGAGTCATTGTGCCCGCTCCCATCTTCTCCCTCCCCCCCAAAAAAACATAATTGGGGGTGGGGTTCGGTCGCGACAGGCGCTGCCTTCGTGAGGGGACGAGAGGACAGGAGGAGGAGGAGGAGGAGGAGAAGGAGGAGGAGGAGGCGGATGAGCAGGACGAGGGGGATAGGGAGAGGGAGGGAGAGGGGGAGGTGGAGAAGCAGCATGAGGAGTAGGAGGAAGAAGACAAGGAGGAGGATGAGGTGGGGGATGATGATGATGCTGCTGCTGATGCTGATGATGGTGATGATGATGATGCCGATGTTGACGATGATGATGATGATGATGATGATGATGATGATGATGATGATGATGATGATGATGATGAAGATGATGATGATGATGATGATGATGATGATGATGATGATGATGATGATGCTGATGATGATGATGATGTTGATGCTGTTGATTGTGATTATGATGCTGATGATGATGTTGATGGTGGTAGTGCTTATGATGATGAGGACGATGGTCATAACGACCATGCTGCTCATGCTGTCGATGATGATGGTGACTGTGATAGTGCTAGTGATGCCTGTGAGGATGATGATGATGATGATGCTGATGATGATGATGCTGATGATGCTGATGATGATGATGATGATGATGATGATGATGATGTGGATGCGGCTAATGATTGTGGGGATTTTGATGATACTGATGGTCATGATGATGATGGTGCTGATGGTGCGGATGATGCGGATGATGCGGATGCTGATCCCGATGATGTTGATGATGATGCTGATGATAATGATGACGCTGTGGCCGATGATGTTTCTGATTGTGATGTCGATGATTACAATGATGATGATTCCGATGATGAGGATGATTATGATGATGATGATGATGATGCTGCTGATGCTGCTGATGATGCTGATGATACTGATGATGCTGCTGCTGATGTTGCTAAGGATGTGTAGAACGATTATGGCGATGATGATGCTGATAATGATGATGCTGATGATGATGATGATGCTGATGATGACGATGGTGACGATGATGATGATGACGATGATGATGATGATGATGATGATGATCATAATGATCATGATGATGATGAGGAGGATGATGATGATGCTGCTGATGCTGATGATGGTGATGGTGATGCTGATGGTGATACTGAGGTTGATGCTGATGATGATGCTGATGTTGAGGATGAGTATGCTGATGCTGCTTATGTTGGTTATGTGGTTATGCTGCTGATGCTGATGATGATACTGCTGATGCTATTGGTTATGCTGCTGATGATGATGAGGAGGATAAGGAGGATGATTATGATGATGACGATCACGGCGATGATGCAGATGCTGATTTTTATGCTGATGCTGCTGCTAATCATGATGATGATGCTGATGCTGATGCTGATGCTGTTGATGCGGATGATAATGATGACGAGGAGGAGGAGGAGGAGTAGGAGGAGGAGGAGGAGGAGGCATGAAGGCATGCAGACATTGAAGCCTTGTCGAAGCCTGGCTGCGCCACACAGGGCGGGCCCCCGCTCCGCGGGACCGACAATACGACAGGCATGGCCCATGGGGCCTGGCCCCAGGCCAGCATGCAAACTTCTGGCACCACGGCGCTACCTTCGGCCCACCAGGTCCGTGGGGTAGAGCTTCCGGCTTTCGAGCCAAGTCCACCCGTGGCGGGCCAGGAGCACCCGGCCGAAGCCCAGACAGACTGTCTGCATCACGGGCGGCCCACTCGGGCCGAGGGGCCAGCCTCCCGCAGCCCTGTCGCTGCTTGCGCCCCTCGACGCCGCTCGGACGTGTGCGTTTTTCCTTCGGCGAGGGCCATCGAGGAGCATCCTTGTTCATTTGGCGGAATAACCACGCACGAAACCGAAAAAAACACAGGGAATGGACGTCCGAGCGATGGCCAGCGCGGCGTCCGCAGGCGATCGCCGCCTGTGGGCCAGCTGCGCCCGTGGAGAGCGCCGCGACCGCTCCGAGGCCGAGCGGCCTCCACGCCAAGCCGTGCCCGGCCTCCGCTTGCTGCCGCCCCTGCTGGGTCCAGCGTGGGCCCGGCCCCCTCCCCCTCCTCCTCCCCCTCCTCCTCCCCCTCCTCCTCCTCTTCCTCCTCCTCCTCATTTTCCTCCTCCTCCTCCTCCTCCTGGGCGCGTCGAGTCGCATGCGCTTCTGGCTTGGTGTGCGAGTGGAGGCTCTGCCCGAGTCGGCGCCTGGCATGGGCCGGGCCGGGCGCGTGCGGGACCAGAGGTGCCTCCAACAGCTTGCCACGACCCTGCCGCTGGTGCTCCGAATTGGCGCCGCAACTCTTGCAACAGAGCACGTCTGGCGAGCATCCTGATGGCTGGCACGCAATCACGATGCTGTGTTCCCGAGCCGACACGGGCTCTCCGTGGCGTCCGCGCCCTTCTCGTCGCAGCCCTCCGCCGGCAACTCAGCTTCGCCTTCGCTGCTCTCCTGTCCTGACCTCGCGGCTTCCCCACAACCTCCTCCTCTCCCTGGCGGAAGTTGAGGAGGAGGAGGAGGCTGATGATGATGATGATGAGGAGGAGGAGGAGGAGGAGGAGAGGAGGAGGGGGGGAGGAGGAGAAGACGGGGGGGGAGGAGGAGGAGGAGAAGGAAGGGGAGGGGGAAGGAAGGGCAGGGAGGCGGAGAGGGAGGCGGAGAGGGAGGAGGAGGGGGAGGGAAGAGAAGGGGAAGAAGGAGGAGGAGGGGGGGCATCTCGCCCGAAAGGCTTGCTTCCCTGGGAGCCTCTCAGGGGCAGCGATACATGGGCGGTCCCTGGAGTACGCAGCGGGGAGAAGCGGCGGGGCGAGGGCAACGTGAGGGGGGCACGTTCTCAGGGGCAACGAGATGGGGGAGGTGTCTGGGAATAGCCAGAGACAACTCGGACGTCAGCATGAACCGTGTCCACCTCCTCCTCCTCCGCTGCCGCCGC